AGGATCAGCACCAGAGCCTAGTCCTAGAGCAGCCCAGAGGGAGTAAGTGAGAATAGGATATGCTTCTTTAACTACCAACTTATGGTTCCGGTTTATCTTCAATTCTCTCATGGCCTTTTCTTTCTTCCTTTTCTTTCTCCAATTAAAGTATTTCATTTAATAAGATAAATCCTGGGACCAGCAGTTGGTATAATGGCTATGTTGTTGGACTCCCACATAGTCGATCGTGGTTTGAGTCCCGGAACCGGTGGCTTAAACTCATGCCGGGTGTGTGTGCATGTGTGCCCAAGATGAGAATGGAGAAGGGATTGCGGCATGGCATGGCCATCCCCGTGGGGGGTGATTTCTCACTTTCTGTCTCTCTGCCTCTGGTGAGTGCACGGCGCGCCCTATAGCAAAAACCTCTCCAAATTAAAAAAAAAAAAAAAAAAAAAGGAGATAAATCTCTATGCTGAAGCATTTTAATTAAAACTTTATTTTATAAAAGTGTTATAAAATGGTTATAAAAGTATTTTATAACCATTCAGTTATAAAAAGGAGAGGGCGGAGGAAGGACAAAAATAAAAAAATCCCATAATTTCCGCCCTCAAGAAACAATGATCCTTCCCTTCTCCCATGCCACTGGCTCAGTTTACAGCTTTCCTGAGGGACTCCTGCAAGTATCTGTGGTGGGTCCACGTCTAATGCAACTCCTCTGGTGTCTCCCCAGGTACTGTTCACCGTCACAATCCCTTCCACAGTGGTGATAATTCGCTCTTGGGCCTGCTACAATGAAACACCTCTGGAAGCTTATTCTATTTCTCCCTACTTAACTGTCAATGTTACAAATACTCCTGAGTGTATTTTCCTTGTGTTAGGTCTTTTTTTTTTTACAACCTAGATCTCAGTACTCCAATTATCAGATTAAAAAACATGAATACCTTTTTTGGCCTGTTACATACTGCCACACGGCTTTCTAAAAGGCAACCCTAGCGATTTGGCAACACTTACAGCTTTTTAAATGCAAAGGACTAGTTTGAAAACAGTTATGAAACCCTGATGACTAGGAATGTTATTACAAGCCTCAAAGGCCTTGTAACTTATTAACAACTTTATAACCTAGGCAAATTGCTTAACAATCAAAATATCTAAAAATTGGATAACAGGAGTGGCAGGAGTAGTGATAGTAAAAGAGTTAATACTGAAGCCAGCAGGTGGTGTGGTGGTTAAGGGTGCTGGATTCCCACACTGCTGACTGTGGTTCAAGTCCCAGACCTGGTAGATTGCTTGCTTTCTCTCTCTCTCCCTCACTTTCACTCTGTCCCTTTCTGGTCAAATGAAAATAAATAAAGTTAAAAAAGAGAGTTAATACTTTTATTTAACCACACACAGTTTGCAGTCCTTGAAAACATATTAATCTGGGCTGGCCCCATGGCCTAGTGGTTAAGGGATCTGGATCCCAACATGGCTGATTATTTGAATCCTGGCTTGGAGGCTTGAAAAACACCGAAGGTATGAGTGCATGCCACAAATTCTGACAAGATGGAGAAATGGAAAAGGGATTGCATTGTACCATCTCTCTCTCCCTCCCTTTCTCTAGTGAGTACACAAGCCCTCTGGCAATTTGGGAAAAAAAAGTTAGAAAATTTACTCCTCAGCAATCTTGTGAGGAAGATGATGTTATTCTCATTTTATACCTGAGGAAGTCAAAGCAAGGTTAGAGCTACATACACTTCAGTAGTCTGTTTCTAGAGTCTTCGCTCAGAACTGCTAAGCCAACCAGTCTCGGAAATAAACCCTACACCTTTCAGGTATTATGACAATTACTGTCATAATGTGTGTGAAACAATCACAATTCCTGTCACACTGTGCCATTGCGTACCCACCCTTAGAGTCCATCCTTGTTCCTATTTTAAGAGCCACAGAGACCCTGTGAAAAGCTTGGTGGCATCATGTACATTTGCGCATTTCACTAAGAACACAATCAGCTTCATCCGAGTCTCACCCAAGGATCCGTCATTACTGGTAGAGTTAAAAGCAGTTTTATAACACAGGCCATGAGGACACCACTAGTGCAGCTTTCGTGGGGATTAACACTGGTGATATCCATTTACCTGGGTATCTACAACCCCTACTATGCAAAAACAATTTGGGGAATTAAAAAAAGAAAAGGATAAAACCAAGTTTCTGCTCTCAAAGACACAATTTAGTACAGGCCGAGGGGGAAGGCAAATGACTTGCACAAAGCATAACTGATGTCTTGACTTAGTTAAGGAGCACTTGAAGAAGTGAGTTTTGCCGAGGGCCGAGAGAACAAAGGCAAGGAGGTGATGAGCAAAACACTGCTGAAAGGGGCCCCTCTAGAAGTTAAAGATTGTTTATATACTAGGTTCTGTATTAGAAAGAGACTAGAACTCGGTCTCTGGTCTGCTCAGTTCCCCAAGGCACAGCTCAGGACCTCTGCTGGCCAAGGCCTTTTGGAGGTCAGTGGACTTCTGTCAAGTGTCAGATGGTGCGTATTTTAGGCTTTGCAGGTGGCACATAGTCTTTGTCACACATTTAAAAGAAAAACAACAACAAAAAAAACCCCACAAAGAAACACCACCCTTGGGGCCAGTAGGTGGCGTAGTGGCTAAGAGCGCTGGATTCCCATATGGCTGACCATGGTTCGAGTCCTGGGCCTGGAGGCTTGCTTTCTCTCTTTTCCGCTTTTTCTCTCTCTGTCTCTCGCTCTGTCCCTCTCTGGTTAAATTAAAGTAAATAAAGTTAAATGAAATAATTCTTTAAAAAAAAAAAAAAACTACCACTTTTTAATATGTAATAACCGTGGGAACCAGCAGATGGCGTAATAGTTACACTGCTTGACTTCCCAGTAGTTGATCAAAGAGTCCCAGACCAAGTGGTTTAAAACACACCTGGTACGTGTGCATGCATGCCCAAAATCCCAAGAGGAGAATGGAGAAGTGACTGTGGCATGACAATGGGGGAGGGGAGGATTTTTCATTTTTTTCTGTTTCTCCAGCAGGTGCATACACCCTATAGCAAAATCTCTTCTTTTAAGAATTATTTTATTTAACTTTATTTATTTATTCATCTTAATTTGGCCAGAAAGAGACAGAGTGATAGAAAAAGTGGGAAAGCAAACCACTAGGTCTGGGACTTGAACCGTGGTCAGCCATGTGGGAGTCCAGCACCTTAATCACCACACCACCTGCCGGCCCCCGCAAAAATCTCTCTTAAAGAAAAATAATAACGTAATAACCGGGGCCACCAGGTGGTGTGGTAGTTAAGACACACTGGACTCCCACACGGCCAACTGTAGACTGAGCTCTGACTCAGCAGCTTGAAAGTGACACTGGTCATGTGTGCATGCGTGCCCAAAATCCCAAGAGGATGGAGGAGAGGGGACAGCAACGTGGCCATTCCCCACCAGGGGGTGATCTCTCACTTTCCCTCTCTGTAATGGCTACATTGCTGGACTCCCATGTGGCCGATCCCAGTTTGAGCCCCAAAC